AAGACACAGTATTTCCCAGCACAATAAGGTGACTGTAGTGAAAAACAATTTAATTGTACATTTAAAAATAATTAAAAGAGTATAGTTGAATTTTTTGTAACCCAAAAGATAAATGCTTGAGGGGATAGATATCCCATTTACCTGATGTGATTATTACATATTGCATGCCTGTATCAAAATATTCCATGTAACCCATAAATATATATACCTACTATGTACTCACAAAAATTAAAATTTAAAGTAAAAAAAAACAATTAAAATGGGGAAGAGATTTGAACACTTTATAAAGGAAGCTGTACAGATGATAAATAAAGGACATGAAAAGATGCCCAGTATTATTAGACATGTGGAAAGGCAAAACCACAGTGGGATACCATAATAAACACATTAGAATAACTTAAATTAAAAGGTTGACCATACCAAGTCTTGACAGGAAAGTGGAGCAAGTGAAACTCTTACATAATGAAGTGAAGTGTAAAATAGTACAACTGCTTTTTAAAATTTTTTGTCAGAGTTAAACATGTACCTATTATATGACCCAGCAATTCCAATCTTAGGTATTTACCCAAGAGAATGAAAGCACATGGCCATAGAAATATGTACATGAATACTTACAGCAATATTCACAATAGCCCCAAACTGGAAAAAACCCAAATGTCTTTCAATGAGTGAATGAATAAACACATCATGGTATATCCATACAATGAAATGATTCTGTAATAAAAGGAATGAGCTATTGATACATACAACAACATGGGTGCATCTCAAAATAATTATGCTAAGTGAAATATAGCAGGCACAAAAGCATACATACTGTATGATTTCATCTACAGAAAATTCTAGAAAATGTAAGCCTGACAGAAAGTAGAATGGTTGGCTGTGGTGGAGGGAGGTAATAGTGTAGGGTAGGGAAGACTGCAAAGAGACACAAGGGAACTTTCTGAGGTGAGGGACATATTTTATATTTTGATTAGAATGGTGGTTATATGTGTATATACATTTGTCAGGTTATTGAACTGTACACTTAAATGCACACATTTTATTCTATGTAAATTTTACTTTGATAAAAGATATGAAAATAGAGAAGTTCAAAAAGCAGAACAAAAAACGCTCCAAATAAATGATATTATGCAGAGGTTGCAGACATTGCAATGACAAAGGTAAGGGTATGACTACGGGAAGAGGCACCTGAGAGATAATGAAGAATAAGATCCCTGGAGGAGGGAAAGTAGGGATCTGAAGGGCTAGAGTGTGGGAAGAATCTGTGTAGAAAGTTTTCTTTCCCTGATAGTGAATGTGACAGAGAAAATGATGTTGTTGATTTTTGTGATGGCAGGGTGTGAAGAGGTATGGGAAGACGCAACCAACCTTAGCAACTGCATTTGTTTTGTAGTAGAAGTCAGACTAAGGATCCAATCACAACTCGGTTTAGTGAGTGGAAACAGTGATTAACGGTGGGAGGCAGGAAGAAGAATGGAGCCTGATAATAGATACAACAGGAAGGGTGGATCGCCTTTGGCAAAAGGAGAATCAAAACACTGAGGTGTGGGGGAAATGCAGTAAAGTTTTACAGGAAAATTGAAGGGTTTTATTTTCTGTTATGTTATGCTGATTTAAAGTGCCATCACATAAAATTTTCAGATATAAATTCACTAGCCTGATTGATGAATTATCAACCTCTTAAGTATCTTCAGCTAGCAAAGACAGGATGTGGTCATTCACCAAAACAATTTTTTTTTTTTTTGTATTTGTGATCTAAGTTTTTAAAGATGAAAAATAATAATGGCAATCATAGTTAACATTTATATAGTATTTACTACATTGCCAACTACTGTGCTTTATATACTTGTTATTTGTTAATCCTCACAAGTAGGATGATGCTATGAGGTAGGCTCTGTTATTATGCTTATTTTACAGGTGAGGAAACCGAGACTCAGAGAGGCTGACTTGCTCAGGTATAGTCAGCCAATCAAGAGTTGATGACATATATCCTCTTCTCACTTAGCAAATTCAGGCGTAGATCCTCCAGACACCATACTCTTAAACACTGCCTTCTCTCATTTAATAGTTTTGTCAAATTTTTATATTAATCAGTCTTTATGAATATTTATAATAGCTATAAGACACTTTGAAATGAACACTCAGAGAAGAGTATCATCTCTTTCCTCTTTCCCCCATACATTTAAAAAAGTTTTTGACAAAAGTGTTACATTCAGAATTTTGGCCCAAATGTTAGAGTCCATAATTTTATGTACAAATCTACTAAAACTTTAGAGTCTTTGGTACAGAATGAAAACATTCCATTTAACAACAAACAACAAATCATTAAGATTATTTCATCCCTGCACTTACAGAAAATAAAATGTGTTATGAAATCCTTTGTTTTTAGTTATTGAATAGAAACCTTGCTCAAATCATTCAGAACTGAAAGACAATGTTTTTTTTTTTTTTTTTTTTTTTTTTTTTTTGAGACGGAGTTTCGCCCTTGTTACCCAGGCTGGAGTGCAATGGCGCGATCTCGGCTCACCGCAACCTCCGCCTCCTGGGCTCAGGCAATTCTCCTGCCTCAGCCTCCTGAGTAGCTGGGATTACAGGCACGTGCCACCATGCCCAGCTAATTTTTTGCACTTTTAGTAGAGACGGAGTTTCACCGTGTTGACCAGGATGGTCTTGATCTCGCGACCTCGTGATCCATCCGCCTCGGCCTCCCAAAGTGCTGGGATTACAGACTTGAGCCACCGCGCCCGACCAAGACAATGTTTTTATTGACTACATGGAACACATAGATGTTATGATATAGATTCTTAATTGTGACAGGAGAATGCTTAATCTCTTGTAGCAATGCCTTTTAAAAATTACTCATTAGCAGTTTTAGTCCTTCTCAATCCCTATTTCCCCTCCCAGTATCTTTCATGAAACTTCTAGAGATCTGTGCAATGCAGCTTAAAACAAAACAAAACCTGGACCAGATAATATTCAAGGTTATTTCTGAAAATCTGTAATTTGTATCAGTGTCATTACATAAGCTTACATCAAAAGTACTCCATCTGATAAAATTCTGGAATATTTTACTAAAAAGTTGAAAACAAATTACTGAAAACAATTAAATAATATTAGACATACTTGTTTTAAAAGATTGGAATTCTAATTGTGCCATTCACTAGCTATCTGACCTTGGACAAAATTACTTAGCTGCTCTTTGCTTTAATTTCTGTATTCATAAAAGAGGATTAATAATAAACCACTTAGCACAGTGCCTACCACATAGTAAGTACTCAATAAATGATTGGTTACTTTAAACTGAAAGTTATTATATAATTCAACATTTTCTCATCCATGTGTGACTTGCTAAACTTTCCTATCCAGATTACCACTCAAATATGAAAAGTCTGCGGAGATAAACACATAGGTCAATGCCGACAATGGATTTAAAGGGTCTAATTGAGTTGAATTAACAGTTCAGACAAAGGCAACACTTTAGTTACCCTGTGAAGAGACATTACTTGTGATTTGGAATCGGTAAATGTAAAAAGCCACTTAGGAAACTACAGCTCACTTACATCCTATCTGAGCAGTTATATGATTTGCCACAATCCAGAGATAGAAGTAGCTCTTATGCCCAATAGTTCAGCAAACACTTAATTGGATGACCTAGCACTGCAGGAATTCAAGGTCCTTTTTCCTATAATTTTGAAAAGACAGTTTGATGATGTCCTTGGTGTATGTATGTGACGAGTTGTTAAATAATTTGAATGGCTGTAAAAGTGTTACTTTTGCCAATAGGTGTTTGACATTTGGCAAGCATATCTTATTTTGTGTCTTTGTAAGTCATTAGGAAGCTGTATAGTCTTAGAGGCAAGTTACTTAAACTTTATTGCCCTAGTTTATATATCTAGATATGATGAGAACAATATTATAATACTGTAATAACTAAACATTGTAATAAAGTAGTAATACCTACTACTATCACCACTACTACTGATGATGCTAGCACTATACAAGTACTGTTAATAACAACATATCTCCTAAGTTGTTAGTACTAAATTAGGTAACATATGTAAAGTGTTTAGAAAAGAGCCAGGCACAATATGAGTTTGTTATTGTTCTTATTATCCTGAATACTTCCAACAGTCAATGAAAATAGAGGGAAAAGCTAGAGGGAAAAGCTAAACAGTTAACATAAGCAAGGATTTGTTAAACTATTTAATTTCTACTGGGAATAACCCATATAAATTTTTCTTTCTTGATGAGCTAATTTGGAAACACATGTTTCTTTCTTTTGATTTAGGGGTTTTCCAAAGTGCTTTTCTGAAAAGTTAAGACATGTTTAAAAAAAAAAAAAACACCTCCATGGCAGACCAAAAAGAAGAAGCAGAACATTCTAAAATGTACCTCTCCTCACATAACAGGCACACAGACTCCTGTTTTTCTCCCACAGGATCCATGTGACCCTGCTGTGATGTCTGTTCATTGTAGAAGTTTAGAAAGTTCTCTCTGGGCTATGTGTAGGAATGGAGTTCTCAGGCCATTCTCTGCCCTCTCCTCCACCCAGTGAGGCCTTCCAAAACCTATCTCATAAAACACAGATTTTGAGACTTGGAGAGCCCTTAAGGATCATCTTGTCATGCTCCTTCATTGTACAGATGGAGAAACAAAGGTCTGGAGAGAGGGAGGGATTTTTATAAGGTTATATAGAAAGCCATTGAGAATATAATTTAGAATATAATTTACAAACCAGTCTAGTGCTCTTCCACCATACCACCTTGCCTTTTTCAGAAGAGATCTGTTTTCCTGTTGTCATCTAAGAACAGTCACACACCCAGGCATTCTTCTAGAACTCAGAGCAGGAAAATAACCACAACATTCTTTCCTATCTCTATCCCAAATGTGGAGAATTTTTAAAGAAGAATACATTAGTTTTTGACACTGAAGTCTGGTGGACACTTCAGTGTCAAAAACTAATATATTCTTCATGTAGTTATTATAGCTGGAAAACTTACCTTCACAAATAGCTCAATCTCAGGGTCCACTAGAGTGCTGGGCCTCAGGCCTGACATCTTTGTCTCTGTTGCCAGTTGTCAGCCTCCCGCCTCCTGTAAAGTCCACAACACTTTTAGACTCTTCTCAATTTTATCCAAAAACTCAAGTAATGTTGGCACTTTAAGAAGAGACTCTAGCGTGTAGTGAACTGAGTCAGTCTCACTCCTGGAGCCAGTCTCTTCTCTCAAGAGGTAACACAGAAAATTCTAGATGCTTAAGTGCAGCTCTTGAATTAGTTTTCCTTCTTCCTCCTGACCTAACATTTGAATCAAGGAGGAGCCAAAGGGGTGTGTATAAACTGGCTGGCTAGAAGGGTGGGGGTGTTTCCAGAGAGGCTTCAATGCTATGAGTCAGCGTAGGAGAAACACATGCACACAAACACACATGCAGTGCTGGCTTCTATATATCAAGCAGACCAGATGTTCTCTAGAGCCTCCCTTTGAGTCCTGGGCTCCATGCCCAGAAAAGGGCCTCTTATTGGTGTTCCTGTAACTTGAAAGCACTTCCAGGAAAAGGGCCAGAAATGATTTGGATTTTTATTATTGAAAAGGATGTTTATTCAATGATACTGTCTAAAACCGGGTTAAAAATTGTAATTCATTAAATGTTTCCACCCCCAATTCTACTGCTCACACAGCCAGATTTCTGTTCTGGGTTGCAAATTTCACTTCTCTCTACGACCAGAGAATGTTCACTAGGGTGGTTGAGTCTGGGGGCTTGTTTAGTGTGCTCCACCTAGTTCTTTATTTCTTGGAAGCTTGGACTGGAACAGATCACTTCCTTGTTTTGGCGTCTGTATCAGGAACCATGATTAGTTCTGTATTTCTGCTTGTCAACCCTGGGAACAGCACCAAAATCAGTCAAATGGATCACTCTGTGTCTGCAATGTTTCTGGCAGCTGTATTTTCTGACTCCAGGGGCTGGGAGGGGGACCCCCGTGTTAATAAACCCCTTTGGTGTGAAGAGTCTCTTCCTGCTTGGAGCCAAACTGAACATAGATCCATCAGCTGGGCACCACTGTAATCCCCTTTCTATACCACTAAGCATCCCCCATGCTCATATGGGCTCTACATATACCTGCCATTGCCATGTGTAAAAATTTACAAGGTAAGAGGCTCTTGAAAAAAACCTAGCCTGCTTCTTACCTGTAGGTTCTAGGGAAGGAGTGGCTGATGTAAAGTTGAATATTCTTCTGGATGAGGGAAGGACTTCATGATTTCCCGAATAGTTTGAAAAGTGAGAAGAAAATTGTGCTGGACATCTGCTGAGCCAACCTTAAGGGTGAGTTTAGGACTGGCTATTGGACAGGACCTTGTGTCTGCCTTGTTTAGCCATATTTTTACTATATTCATCATGCTCTATTCATTCACTCTAAAGGCAATCAATGAATGCCAACTCTGTGTCAGGATGCTGATCCATTCACTGAGATTGACAGCATGGGAGGACAGCCGGTTTTTGAGGACAATAAGAATTCAACTTTAAGCATGCTCAGTCTCAGGCCTCCTCACTTTAAGCATGCACAGTCTGGGTCTTTCCCCACTCCCTATATCTAACTGCTACAAAATCTTATCACTTCTACATCCTGAATATTTAAAAAAATCCATCCACTTCTCTTTGCTTCTATGGCTACTCTAAATTTCAAGCCAGCAACATTCTTTTTTAATTGAGTTAAACATTTTTATTTTAAAAGACCAAATGGTTGCTTGACCCTTGGCTCTCATGGGAAAACCACAGCCCTTTCCACTACCACCACAGCAAAAACAATAAACAGCCTAATGACCTCCGTATGATCCCTAATAAATTGTCAAAGTAAAGAGATAAATGTTCTCTTTTTTTCTTTTTCTTTTTTTATTGCATTTTAGGTTTTGGGGTACATGTGAAGAACATGCAGGATTGTTGCATAGGTACACATATGGCAGTGTGATTTGCTGCCTTCCTTCCCCTCAGCTATATCTGTCATTTCTCCCCATGCTATCTCTCCCCACCTCCCCACCCCCCCGTCCCTCCCCCATTTCCCCTCAACGGACTCCAGTGTGTAGTGCTCCCCTCCCCATGTCCATGTGTTCTCATTCTTCAACGCCTGCCTATGAGTGAGAACATGCGGTGTTTGATTTTCTGTTCTTGTGTTCTCTTTTTTTCTTGATGCTCAGAGTTTAAAAATATTGTATTTAGAATAATTTACATGCCATAAAATTCACGTCTTTAAAGTGATTTTATAAATTTATTGGGTGGTGCAACCACCATTATAATCTAATTGTAGAACATTTGTATCACATCAATGGCATCTTTCTCACCCATTTGCAACCAATCTTCGTTACAACTCCCAGCATCAGGAAACCACTAATCTACTTTCTGTGCCTGTGGATTTGCCTATTCTAGACATTTCATATAAATGTCATGTTAATTCATTTTTGCTTTGCTATAAGGAAATATTTGAGGCTGAGTAATTTATAAAGAAAAGAGTTTTAGTTGGCTCAAGATTCTGCAGGTTGTACGAAAAGCATGGTGCTAGCATCTGCTCCTGGTGAGAGCCTCAGGAAGCTTCCAATCATGACAGAAGGCAGAGTGGGAGCAGGCATCTCACATGATGAAAGTAGGAGGAAGAGAGAAAAAGGTGGGGGGACATGCCACATTCTTTTAAATAACCAACTCTTGTATGAATTCAGAGGGAGAACTCACTCATTACTATGAAGGTGGCACCAAGCCACCCATGAGGGACCTGCCCCCATGATGAAAACACCTCCCACCAGGCCCACGTCCACCATTGGGGAATACATTTCAACATGAGATTTGCAGGGGACAAATATCCAAACCATATCAATGTAATCATGAAATATGTGGTCTTAGTCACAAAAAGACAAGTCTTTTATGATTCCACTTATATGAGGCACCTGGAAGTAGCCAAAATCATAGAAAATAAATGGTAGTTGCTAGGGTTGAGGGGAGGAAGAATAGGGAGTACAGTTTCAGTTTTGCAAGATAAGGAGAATTCTAGAGATGGATAGTGGTGATGGTTACACAGCACTATGAATGTCCTTAATGCTACTGAACTCTACACTTAAAAATGGTTCAAGATGATACATTTTCTTATGTGTATTTTACACATTTTTTAAAGTAAAGTTTGTAATAATAAAAGAAATATGTGGCCTTTTGTGTCTAGGTTCTTATTCCTATTGTAACATTTCCAAGGTTCATCCATGTTGCAGCATGATACTTCATTCATTTTCATGACTGACTCATATTCCATTGCATGGATCGACCACATTTTGTTTATGCATTCATCATTTGACGGGTATATGGGTACTTTCCACCTTTTGGCTACTGTGAATAGTACTGCTATAAACATTTGTGTACAAGTTTTTTGTTGAATATATTTTTTCAGTTCTTTTGGCAAAATACCTAGAAGTGGAATTAGTGAGTCATATGGTAATTCTATGTTTAACTTATTGAGGAATCTCCAAAGTTATTTCACAGCAGCTATAACATTTTGCATTCCCAACAGTAGTGTATGAAGATCCTGATCTCTCCACATCCTCACCAAAACTTGTTTGCTATTTGCTTTGTTTATAATAGCTATTCCAGTGGCTGTGAAGTGGTAGCTTACAGTGATTTTTTTTTTCATTTTAAAAACAGATTTAAAGGATACAAATGCAGATTTCTTTCATGCATATATTGCATAGTGGTGAAGTCTGGGCTTTTAAGTGTACCCATCACCCGAATAGTGAATATTGTACCCAAAAGGTGATTTTTCAACCCTTGTTAATCTCCCACCCCTCCTCCTTTTATAGTCTCCAATATCTATTATTCTACTCTATATGTCCATGTGTACCCATTGTTAAGCTCTCACAAGTGAGAATATGTGATATTTGACTTTCTGTTTCTGAATTATTTTACTTAAGATAATGGACTCCAGCTCCATTCATGTTACTGTAGAACACATGACTTAATTATTATTTATGGCTGCATAGCATTTCATGTATATGTTAAATGTAGATGGGAAGATGCCCAGTAGCAGGATTGCTGGATCAAATGGTAATTCTATTTTTGGTTCTTTGAGAAGTCTCCATACTGCTTTCCATAAATGTTGTGATAATTTACAGTCCCACTAACAGTGCATAAGCATTACACTTTTCTCCACATTCTCATCAACATCTGTTGTTTTTTCAATTTTTAAGTAATAGCCATTCTGACTGGTGTAAGAAAGTATTGAGTGCTTTTAATTTGTATTTCTCTGATAATTAGTGATATTGCGCATCTTTTATATGTTGGCCACTTGTATTCCTTTCAAAAAATACCCATTCATGCTCTTTACCTACTTTTTAGTGGAGTTACTTGGTTTTTATTTTCTTGTTGAGTTGTTGGAGCTTCTTGTAGATTCTGGATACTAGCCTTTGTTAGATACATAGTTTGCAAATATGTTTTTCTCATTAGGTAGGTTTACTCTCTTGATTGTTTCTTTTGCTGTGTAGAAGGGTTTTAGCTTAACTGAGTCCCGGCTGTTTCTTTTTGTTTGTATTGCATTTGCTTTTGAGGACCTGGTCATAAATTCTTTGCCTAATCCAGGCCAATGTCCAGAAGAATTTTTCCTACATTTTCTTACATGATTTTTACAGTTTCAGGTCTAAAATATAAATCTTTAATCCTTCTTGAGTTAATTTATGTGTATGGTGAGAGATAGGGGTCCAGTTTACGAGTTTTCCTAACACCATGTATTGAATAGGGTATTCTTTCTCAATTGTTTAATTTTTTCATTGTTGCTGAAGAGCAGTTGGTCATAATTACTTTATTTCTGGGTTTACTATTGTGTTCCATTGGTCTATATGTCTATTTTTATACCAACATCATGATGTTTTTGGTTACTATAGCCTTGTAGTATAATTCAAAGTCAGATAATATAATACTTCAAGCTTTGTTCTGTTTGCTTAGGATTGGTTTGGCTATTCAGACTCTTGGTTTCATATAAATTTTAAGTTTTATTAATTATGTGCAAAATGGTATTGGTAATTTGATAGAGATTAAATTACCTTTAATCTGTAAATTTCTTTGAATCTGTAAATTTCTTTGAGCAGTGCAGTCATTTTAATAATATTGATTCTTTTGATCCATGAGCATGGGATTTTTCATTTGTTTGTGTCATATATCAATTTTTCATCAGTGTTTTGTAGTTCTTCTTATAGAAATCTTTCGCCTCTTTGATTAAATATATTCCTAGGTGTTTAAATTTTTGTGCCTACTGTAAATGGAATTGAGTTCTTCATTTGGTTCTTAACCTA